AAATTGAGCTGGGGGTGGGGGAGGGAGAAGGAAGAGAACATCATAGAGTTAAAGCTACAAGGGACCACTGTGATCATCTAACCTGACCGCTTACAAGAATCACTGGGTGAAATTCCACAGCCTATGTTATGCATCTAGCCTATAAGGTCTACTTGAACTAGAATGTATCTTTCAGAAAGACTTCCAGTCTTGATTTAATGATCCCAAGAAATCCAGAACACACCACATGCTCTGACAACCTGCTTCCAATGGTTAGTTACCTGCACTGCTAAAAAAAGGTGCATCTTCTAGCTAGTTGGCTTGAATCCAGTCTTTGGCTTCCTTCCTTGCTGTCTGAATCCCCAGGAAAATACTCAAGAATACTGCAAGGTGTACTTTCAGGCAGCTGGGAGATTGACACCATAACATCCTAAGAGTCCTCTGCCTTCTCTGTTATCTGTGATTCAGGGTCTGCAATGTAGTTTGATAATCTTTAGGTGAGAATAATGTTTCCTGTTGTTTTACTTATGTGTTGGATTATTATTCTTTTATATTTTCATGTTGTTAGCTACAACGTAAGCTATAGCTACAATAGCCCTGGGAAAGGGTAACCCCATCTTTCTTCATTTGCAAGTTTCTAAACTACTGCAAAAAGGAATCCGGAAAGGTGTCCAAAACTTTGGAGTTAACATCAGTGCCAATAATAAACAAATCCATGAGGCTGACACATTCCTCAATCCCCGCTGGAGTACTGAAACGGCAAGACTTCCTTCTAAAGGGCTTTGCTTAGGAGTAAATTTTTGCACAGTAAAGTCTAGGTGTCAAGTTTCTCCCTACTCCCCAGACACAGTATTCTGTTCCAGAAGGTCTCAAGGCAGCTCTCATCACTGACTTAGAAGTTCTTAACCTCCATGAACAATGACTGCAAGTTTGATCCCAAACAAAACAAGAATGTAAAGACTTCAACGGTCTCTTATAGTTCCCTAGGAAGATTTCCATTCCATGACATTTCTTTGTCTATAAAGGATAAGAGGGAAATGCAGTTTCAGTTGTATCTAATTACACAACCTCCTCAGAGTGCCTCACAAATAATAGATTTATCTTTGCAGCATGCCCAAGAGGTAAGGAAATATTTATTAAACCCATTTTCAGAGAAGGAACTGAGGCACTGAAAATGAAGCAAGTCCAAGGTCACACAGGAAGAGCAGGGAACTAAACCTAAGCCTCCTGAGTCACATTCAGTGTCTTAACCACAAGCCCAGCTTTTCCCTCCTGGATACGAATTTACAGTCAGAGCCTGTTCCATTTGTTGTAAGTACAAAAGCACATTGCATTAGCAAAGTTTTGATGGGTTTCTTTTAACATTCACATCAACTTATGGAGCAAAGCAGAGAAAGAAAATATGTATCTTTTCATTTTAGTCCTAACTGTGGCATCAATATTGTGGATGCTTTAAAGATACACAGTAAGTGACAAGATCAAAATCTGGCAAAAAAATTAGGTTTTGTAAAAACAAGAATTTACAGAAGCTAAGAGCAACAGAAATATTTCCATGTTTTTAAAAACACCCCAGTATAAATACGGTTTAAACATACATACACACACCTCTTTCCCAGTGTTTGCTACCAAAACATTACAGGACTATGCTAGAACATAAGCTCCTACAAGTAGAACTAACTAAAAAAGTAATAGCCAGTCAGATTTTAAAATTGATGATGTTATTAACAGCATAGGTAAGGGCAGGTGGGATTTGCTTTAGTGTGTGGTGTTTAAGCTGAGAGACTGGTTAAAGCAATTCCTTAGTTCTGTATTTTTTTCACTTAACCAGCCACTACACATTTTAAGTGTCCATCAAGGCGTCTGCACTGAAAACAAGTATGGATCAAATTCTAAACTTGTGCTGTAAAATGTAATAAGTTGCCAATGTTTACAGCCTGTTGGGTGCCTTGGACCCCACGGACGTGCTGAACGCTTTGTCCTCTCTCCCTTCCTCAGCACTTCATCCCCACCTTCCCACTAGCCATCATCAGCCCAAGGCGCTGCTGTGCCACTGCCCAGCTGCGGGCAAGCTCCATAGCTTCGGCCACAGCCTCGCTAAATAAATAAACGCCAATAGGACAGAGCAGGAAATCGCCTCCGAATGCCAGGCAGACTTAGGGAAACTGGGGTTTCCACGCAAACTACAGGAAAACTTCCCAATGAAACCACCTGTCTGATTGCTCTGCAAAGGCTCCCCCATCCACCCACCCACCCTGCATCTCCCCTGCTCCCAGCAGCAAGCTCCTGCCTCCCGTTCCTCTCCGCTAATGCCAGCCCAGCGCCCTCCCCCAAGGACCTGAAATCACCACGCCAGCCTCCTCCCGCATGGCAGCATCCCCCTGGCGGGCAGCAGCTCCGCACCCGCGGGCGGGACAGAGCGGCGGGCAGGTGGTTTGGGGAACGCGCGCAGCGCGCAGAGCGCAGCCGGGGAACAAACCTGG